AAGTTGGTGGTTTCTGTTCGGAAGTCACCCGTGTTAGGTTAAGTGGATTTAAGTCGGATCTAATTGACTTTGTGTAAAATTCATTAACACGTAGGCAATTCGTCCAATTAAACAAATAAAAATTTATAAATCGAACATGATTCATTTCATTAAAAATTTAAACAAATTACCCAATATGTACTTGTTTAAACCGATTAATAAATTTTTATATTATTATAGTAAAAAGATAATTATTAAACTTTTTTAGCTCATATAATTATCAAATTGTATATATTATTTTTGAGTAAAAAAATTGAATAATTATTAATTTATTATTATATTAATTTTATTTAAACAAGATAAACGAATTAATATATCTCACCTAAATACAATTCGTTTATTAAACGTATTAGTGGATTCATTCGTTTATAGCCCCCGCATTCGTTATGACCTCATCCAAACTCATCTAAATTTGTGTCGAGTTGTATCATTTAATCGTATTATGTTTCATTTTGACAAACCTAGATAAAACTCTCCTTTTGTTAGTGGTTCAAATCTTCATTCCCTTGTATCTAGTGATAAAAAAAAGTGTTAGACAACATGATATTGTGTATATATCGTAGGGTGTAACTTGAGTGGGTTAAGAGATCAATCTTAATCTAATTCTAAGTATAAAATTTTCAATTTTAACCTTAACCCTAACTCAACCACAACAAACAATTATTCTAAATTAGCTGTGAGCTTTTGCACAATATTGGACTATTACATAAGCCTACGTGACCCATTGTGATGAAACTTATCAAGACAACTTATTAAAGGTGTAAGAGTAAGCCTTCTTTATATAAGGAAAAAGGAAAAAATCACTTGAATTGTCTATTTGATGTGGGATGACTTCTTATCTTTATTTTGCTTTTTTTAACTTATACCACATTAGCTTTGTAAACTTCTTTCAACATCTATAGTCCTTATAAATTATGTTTCACTCCCTCTTTAAATAAAAATAATTACAAATATATGTATTTATATTATATATATAATAAAGTAAAAAAATTGAAAGCATAAAAAATTATTTTTACTTTTTGTAGTTAAAATTATTTTAAATTCTACTTTAAAATTAATCTAACAGTTAATATTAACTCTTTAAATTTAATAGAGAAAATAGACTTCCTAAAAATGTGTTTTAGATGACTTTTCAAAAGTATTTTTAGAATTTATAATTTTTTATAAGCACTTTAAAAAAAAAGAGTAGTAACACTTCACTACCACTACCCCCACCGCACCACCACTGATGTCACCATCACTGTTGCCGCCACCCCACCCCTAATCCTAGCACCCCCACCACCACCAGCCCTACCATCCCTACCCTTACCACCCAACCACCATTGTTAGCACCACCGTCGTCACCTATCACCGATTGTTATCACCGCCAGTACCCACTACCATCATCATCTCATTCTTATGTTTATTATCATTACCACCATTATCCCACCCATCATTATCGTCCATGTCATCACCCACCATCATCATCGTTGCTTATCACCACCCGTCATCGGCCACCACTACCGCCGCCACCTATTAACACCCCACCACCACCCGTCATTGCCCACCATTTTTGCCACCCACTATCGCCCACCTCCCACCACTCGTCATCGCTCACCACTGCTGCCACCCACTGTTACTCACCCCCTACCATCGTCATTCGCCACCACCCACCACCACCATTACCAACAAGCACCCATCATCGTCCACTACCACCATCGTAACCACCCACCATCACCCCCACCAATACCAACCACCATCGTCATCGCCCCTCACCATCACCAACATTGTCATCACCCATGGTTGCCATTACCATCATCACCACCAAAAATTCACCACCACTATCACCGTTGTCACTCGCGGTTGCCATCACCACCACGATCGTCAATGTTTCCCACCACCACCACTACCACCGCTCATTTTCACTACAATTGGTGCTAAAAAATTTTCTCTCTTATTTATCTTTGTGATTTGATTTTGAGTGTAAATACAAATATATTTATGATTGACAATTTTTTTTATTACTCCGTTCCTTTAAGTACGGACAATAACTAGTATAAATTTAATACATGAATTCGGGTTGACTTCTGATTAAATCCATAAATCCAAACTATTAGCTCGAGCCTTATCTGAATTCAATTTGGGTTAAAACTTTTCAACCCTAGTCCTACAAATTTCAACCCAATTTTTTTTTTGAGTTAGATTCGGGTTGATTTCAAGTTAACCTGCTTGAATTGCACCCCTAATATAACAATGTTTTTTTCATGCACCACCTAAATATGTGTCGAGCAGAGCACGTTGATGTTAAGAATAAATGTGGTCTACCAAGGCTATTGTGGGCTTTTGCCCATAAGCTTTATAAGAGCCAATTCTCCTAGGCTACTCCTGAAGCCCATTAAGTCAGTCCAAGTTTTTTTTAACGCGCCCTCTATTTTTCTTGCCATTTCATGGCTCTTGGGGCTAAGGCTAACATGGCCTTTCGACTCCATTAGGCAGACCCCATCTCATTTCTACCTAGTTCATGGCATCACTGGCTAAGACTATGGTACCATACAAAAAAATATAAATTATAAATTATTTTACATGGATAATGCTCTCAGTGATAAAAAGAAGAAGAAGTAGATATGGTAACTTTTTGATACCATCATCACTAAGGATGACATGAGAGAAGTGAATTTGAGATACTCGTTACTACACTATTATCTTTACATCTATTTCAATCCTGATCTTGATTTGCTGCATTCCCTTCAAATTCTCTCCATCTAATCTCTCTTGTTGTTTTCTCCTTGATACTTGAGTTACCACTCTTTTGTTTCGGGGTCGATTCGTCTCATACTTTCTGTTGGAGTTTCGACCTAGACTAATTAAATCTTTTTCTCCTCCTCCATAAAAGAACATAACTCATTAATTTAAATTGGATTATCATGTTCAATCGTGTCCATATCATTATGAGAGGCATCAAATGCACCATTAACTGTGATAAAATAAATGATAAAAATATATTTTTTCTATTGATTTATAAGTTTGTTATAAGATGATGTCGCTGCATGGCAATGGTGACATAGTGTTACCGTTACATTCAATAGTGAGTTTCAATGTCAATTTAGACTCGTTGTTAATCCAATGAATGTGATAAATCAGGCTAATAAATTGGATTTAACTAATCACTTTTGGCCACAAATCTCGATAGAGACATTTCTGTCATTCAAATGAATAAAATCAACAACTACACAAGTAAATATTGAATTTAACGTGACAATTGACACGTGATATTATTCAATAATAAACTTATAAAGTGAATTTCACCTTATTATTTTTCTTTCACAGATATAATAATTACTAAAAATTAAATAAATTTTATTGATTTTTATATTATTTTTTTATTAATTAGAGATACAAGGCATCGTCTGTTATGCTTGTTCACTCAGNCACCACCACGATCGTCAATGTTTCCCACCACCACCACTACCACCGCTCATTTTCACTACAATTGGTGCTAAAAAATTTTCTCTCTTATTTATCTTTGTGATTTGATTTTGAGTGTAAATACAAATATATTTATGATTGACAATTTTTTTTATTACTCCGTTCCTTTAAGTACGGACAATAACTAGTATAAATTTAATACATGAATTCGGGTTGACTTCTGATTAAATCCATAAATCCAAACTATTAGCTCGAGCCTTATCTGAATTCAATTTGGGTTAAAACTTTTCAACCCTAGTCCTACAAATTTCAACCCAATTTTTTTTTTGAGTTAGATTCGGGTTGATTTCAAGTTAACCTGCTTGAATTGCACCCCTAATATAACAATGTTTTTTTCATGCACCACCTAAATATGTGTCGAGCAGAGCACGTTGATGTTAAGAATAAATGTGGTCTACCAAGGCTATTGTGGGCTTTTGCCCATAAGCTTTATAAGAGCCAATTCTCCTAGGCTACTCCTGAAGCCCATTAAGTCAGTCCAAGTTTTTTTTAACGCGCCCTCTATTTTTCTTGCCATTTCATGGCTCTTGGGGCTAAGGCTAACATGGCCTTTCGACTCCATTAGGCAGACCCCATCTCATTTCTACCTAGTTCATGGCATCACTGGCTAAGACTATGGTACCATACAAAAAAATATAAATTATAAATTATTTTACATGGATAATGCTCTCAGTGATAAAAAGAAGAAGAAGTAGATATGGTAACTTTTTGATACCATCATCACTAAGGATGACATGAGAGAAGTGAATTTGAGATACTCGTTACTACACTATTATCTTTACATCTATTTCAATCCTGATCTTGATTTGCTGCATTCCCTTCAAATTCTCTCCATCTAATCTCTCTTGTTGTTTTCTCCTTGATACTTGAGTTACCACTCTTTTGTTTCGGGGTCGATTCGTCTCATACTTTCTGTTGGAGTTTCGACCTAGACTAATTAAATCTTTTTCTCCTCCTCCATAAAAGAACATAACTCATTAATTTAAATTGGATTATCATGTTCAATCGTGTCCATATCATTATGAGAGGCATCAAATGCACCATTAACTGTGATAAAATAAATGATAAAAATATATTTTTTCTATTGATTTATAAGTTTGTTATAAGATGATGTCGCTGCATGGCAATGGTGACATAGTGTTACCGTTACATTCAATAGTGAGTTTCAATGTCAATTTAGACTCGTTGTTAATCCAATGAATGTGATAAATCAGGCTAATAAATTGGATTTAACTAATCACTTTTGGCCACAAATCTCGATAGAGACATTTCTGTCATTCAAATGAATAAAATCAACAACTACACAAGTAAATATTGAATTTAACGTGACAATTGACACGTGATATTATTCAATAATAAACTTATAAAGTGAATTTCACCTTATTATTTTTCTTTCACAGATATAATAATTACTAAAAATTAAATAAATTTTATTGATTTTTATATTATTTTTTTATTAATTAGAGATACAAGGCATCGTCTGTTATGCTTGTTCACTCAGGAGGCCTTATAGCCGCTTCGATTTTATTCTTCCTCTCGGATCTCTCTCTCTCTCTCCGTGCGTGCGTGCGTGTGTGTGGCCATGGCTTCCGAGAATTTGATCGACAAGAACGCCGTTTTCAGAAAGCTCAGAGCCAAGTCTGATAACAAGGTTTTTTTAATCTTCTTTTTTGTTCTCTTCTCAAATTTTATTTGAGTTGTGTTGATTTTATATTTCATTAGACGGATGTTGCTGAGATCTAATTCAGATCTGGCTATTTCTTTTGTATGGGTATTTGTTTGATTTTGATTATTTATTGAGGTGTTTTGTTTCTGCATTAGACGTGTTTTGATTGCAATGCGAAGAATCCAAATTGGGCGTCGGTTACGTTCGGCATCTTCCTATGTATTGATTGTTCGGCTGTTCATCGCAGTCTCGGCGTTCACGTCAGTTTTGTTAGGTGATTTCTGCATTACAATTCTGTTCCTGTTTGATCGTTGTTTTTTAGGTTTTGTTTTTATTTCTCATGGGCATTTAATTTCATTTCTACGTTAATTGCGCCAATTTCATGTATTTATGTAGCTTTTTCACATGTATTCACCAAGTTTATTGACGAAATCTGAGGCAAAAATTAATTTGAATCCTCTATAAATCCAGACGTTCCTTTCTTTTTTGTAAGTTGGAAAAGAAGGGGAAATTTGTCTGCATTTGATTCACCCGACAAAATTGATAAGAAGTGACTTACTCCGTAAAGCTTTGCTACAAGTCCGGTACATCATATTGTGCATAAAGGATTTGCCCAAGTTGAGCCGTAAAGAATGTGTATTCAGGAAAGAATTACAGCAAGTCCACTACAGTAAATGTGTGAGTTTTTGATGTAGAATGATGAAATTTGGTTATACACTTTGCCTTGGTCTTCTCCACTTGAAAAAACAGTGTTATTTGTTTATCTACCTAGATTTCTAAGAGGATCCTGGATTTAGAATTTTTTATAAACGAGCAATAAACGAAGGGTAGACAGACTTGTACGGAAGTATAAGATTTAGTGAGTAAAGATTAGGCTGGAGTTAGCTCAGAGGTTGGGCTGTATGAAATTCTTGTTCGAGACGCCCCCACCCCCAAACCAAAAAACACAAAACACACAGCACACCTCAGCAAAGCATTGGCTTAATTATTGTGTTTGGGATCTTCTACATGAATCGGATGCCTTTATATTGTTTTGTGTATCGCTATATTTTTATTAAACCACAAGTTATCATATCATTTCTTCGTGTCTTGGTTACAAACAAGTTTGGTTGACCTCTAACCCTAGCATTGCTATGACACACACAGCGAACTCAAAAAAATGTGAAATCCACCATTATCCGTTGCCATAGTAATGGCAACATGTGCTATCCAGAGGAGGGGTTGTTTGTTTCGGTTGATGGCATAGAAATGTTGTAATACTTTTCTGCATGACTTTTGGTGTAAATATTTCCCTTTCAACTGCTGTTTTTTTGACATTGTATATGTATGAAACAGCCTTTAGTGTGTATAACTTGAATCCTTTTTTTTCCCCTCCTATCTGACCTTACTTTATGAGATTTTTTTGCCATTCGAAATATTGCTCAATAACAGTAGCTCTTTTGTTTTCTGTACATTTTAGAAGTCCCTGGGACAGCTTTGTGAGTTTTGATCATCGATTGGGTTCAGGGTTTTAAGACAGGAAGTCTCTTCATACCCAGCCCCAATATATAGTCTAACGAATAGCATGTATTTCGAAGACCACTAAGGTTTGATTGGTTGTATTGTCTAATATATTTGAGGTTGTAGGTTCAAACATGAGGGCAGTCACTTTGTATGGATAATGTTGAAGGTTAGGTCTGTACCTTACCTACTCCTTCCAGATCCCTGTTAATGGGGACTAAAGTAGGTGTTATTTTCAGTGGATAAACAGATATAGTTCCGTTTGCTAATTTAGGAGGCAATATAACTTTTCTTCAAGCTGAACACTATAAAAATTATCGATTCATTTTAGGCCAATTTTTTTTTTGTAGATCGACCGATTTAGATTCATGGACTCCTGAGCAGTTAAAGATGATGAGCTTTGGGGGAAACTACCGTGCTCAAGTTTTCTTTAAGCAGCATGGTTGGACTGATGCAGGCAGGATTGAGGCCAAATATACTTCAAGGGCTGCCGAATTATATAAGCAATTACTCTCAAAAGATGTTGCTAAAAGTTCTGCAGAAGAAGAGACAGGTTTGCCATCATCACCCATTGCTTCTCAGTCAGTACAAGCTGCTAATGAAGTTCCTGATATCAAGACCAATGAAGCTCCAAAAAATAGTTCTTCAGAAAAGTCTGAAACTGCTGATGTATCTGCTTCACCCAAAGCTCCTCAACCTTTTGCTACCACTTCTGTTAAGAAGCCTCTCGGCGCAAAGAAAACGGTGAAGAGTGGGGGGCTTGGTGCTCGAAAGCTTACCACTAAGGTGGATGCTACCTTTATTACTGTGGACAATTTAATTTGGGGTACATGTGAAATGTACAAGCTAGAAATTGGTATTATCAACAAATTATGTTTCTGAAATTTAAGTGTTCTATGATTTTGTTAATTAATTTAAGCTTCCTTTCTATGATGAAGCAGCTAAATAATTTTTGTCTAATGCAGCCAAGTGAAAGTCTCTATGACCAGAAGCCGGAAGAACCTCCTGTGCAAGTTTCCACCTCTGGAAATAGCACCCCTACATTTGGTTCATCTTTTACATCTCGTTTTAAATACATAGATAATGTCCAAGCTGCTGAGATGAGTTCTGGAGGCACACACGTGATTGGTCATGTATCCCCACCCAAGTCGTCCAGTTTTTTTGCAGATTATGGGATGGACAGTGGTTTCTCGAAGAAAACAAGCTCAAATTCATCGAAAATGCAAGTAAGACATATGATTTCAAATTTATTAATCATTGTTAGCAAACCTATATTAATGCTATTTTACTTCATTGGTTGACACCCATATCTCTTATACGGAGTATCCAAAGAATTTTAAAAGTCTCAAGTCCGATTATTGAGTGTTGGGATCGTTTGTCGTTGGTGCTAAGTATTTTTCTCTCTTGTTCCTAGGAACCCAATAATGTGGCATAAGAAGAATGTATTACAAGAGGTTGAAGTGGTTAGGCATGCAAGTGGGAACGCATTAATTGATAGCTGAATGTTGGTGTGATTTCATTCTCGATAAATAACTTGTCTTGTCTTGACTTGACCATCTTTTGAATTATCAAAACTTCCATTGCTTCATTCCCACAAGGGAGAAGAATCCGTCATTCTCTCGCCCGTGCTACCGGAGGCTCTGGGGAAGTTGTAATAGGAGGGCACTCATCTTGGGGTGGGCTTACTACTTAGATGCTTTAATCAGTTATCTGCTCCTTACTTGGCTACCTAGCTATTTGTCACTCCTAAGAGTACTTCTTGGACTAGACATGTTTATTTCTTTTTTCTTTTTTTCTCCTTTTTCTTTTTGCCTGCCCTTCAGTCTAGCCTGCCACATGCATGTAGGCTGATAAATCAGGTGCAACCATTTCCTTTATGCTTCATTATTGAAAGAGGAGAAAGCGCAGGTTGTAATCACATATTTGATAGTCATAGTTTTTTGTAATCATGAGAAGGCGAGCCTTGACACAATGGTAAGATTGCTCCATTGTGACCAGAAGGTCACATGTTTGAGTCGTGAAAACAGTCTCTCTACTTTCCGGAGTAAGGTACATACATCTAACCCTCCTCAGACCCCTGCAATGACGGGTGCCTCGTCCACTGGGTATATCTTTTTTTTTTTTAGTGCTTTGTCATGTATTTGACAGTCATAGTTTTTCTCTCTTTGATTTACTTAATATTGATGATAAATGGATGTTAAATTCTTTGGTTTAGAAGTTTGTTTTGGAATTTATGTGTAGTAGTAAGCGTCTTTTTTTGTTTTTTAACCTTCATGGATCAAAGATATAGTTTTATCTCTTCAAAATTTGTGCTTAAAAGTATGGAAAAAAATGTAATTCACAACAAGGGAATAAATTGTGAGTGTAATACATGAGTCATACACACACCACTTAACTGCATGTTGTGCAAGGAATTAAGTTTTACAAGCCAATTTAAATGTTGGTGATGTGAGGTTTTGATGCTCAATAGGTTCTTTAGTATGTTCTTTTCTGCTAATTTTGTGAGTTTCTTACCTTTGGTGAGTTTTCTTTTGCTGAAACTTGTTTGTGGTTTCAGAACTGTTGGTAGCCTATATAAATGCTTATATAATGTGTGCTTTTCTGGGATGATGGGTTGTGTTGGGGAATAGTGAGGACCACACAAGCCACAGACTAACACAAATTAGTGGTTACGGTGTCTATTCTTCTATAATGCAGATAAATGAGCTTTGCTCTGGAGATTGATGTCACTTCTCTGCACATTTCCCTATATTAACTTGTCTGTCCCTAGAATATTGTGCCTCTTAGTCTGCCCGACAATATTGTGCCTCTTAGTCTGCCCGACCTTTAGTGGTTTTCTGTTATTTATGTTTTTATTTTCTCTTTTGTTCCCATTATTTCAGTCATTTTTATCTTCTTTTCCATCTTTGTTCTTCGATTGAGGACCAGTGTCTTGTGACAAGAACATGGTTCAGGTCAGTCTAGCCGTCATTTTTTGGTGATTCATGTGTTTCTCTTACATTTTTCGTTTGCATCTTGTCATTATCTGATTCAGGAAACTGATGAAGCAAGGAAGAAGTTCTCTAATGCGAAATCTATTTCGTCTTCCCAGTTTTTTGGCGATCAGAACAAAGCTGATGCGGATGCTTCAGCTTCTCTACAGAAGTTCTCAGTATGTACCCTTTTCTTTTGCTATGCAATTTGGAGAGTAGGGAGAGCTGCACCTATTACATAGCATGGGGAGTGAGCCTCTTGGAGGCTGAAGCCACCCGGGCTTGGCCCAAGGTGGTCCCAGTCTCTCAACAGTTTGTTAATGAACGTCAGCCCTATCCAGTCCATCCAGTCCCTAATTGTCTTTTGGATTTTGCATACAATGGGGTTTTCTTAGTAGATTCCTTTATAATTTTCTTGTTTCTCTTTTTGCCAGAAATGATCTTTTAGCCAATGAGGTGGACTAATGCATGTTTTTGCATGTAACATTAATAAGGAATATCTTTGTGGTCACCTGGATTAAGACTTTGTGAACAAGCACATTTGAGATGATCAGCATTTGTTATCTCCCCTACCTTTTCTTGTTATTCATCTTAGAAGTGGATGTGGTAATAGGTTATCAGCATGTTGCATTAATGAAACATTTGGTCCCAACTCTGAAACGATGAACTTCTAACTTGTTACATGACTGGCTCTCACGGAATGGAATATGAAAATCTAGTCAAGTGTTAAGTATATGCAGGAAATAAGTTTAAGTTTTTTTAATGACAGGACTGAAGTGTATGTACATAACGACTTCAATATGTAGCTTCAGCAGAGTACTTTAGTTTTTGGGCTCTGAATTTTTTTCCCCTGTTGGAAAATTTCCACCATGTTCCTTTCATAAACCTCTTTCTTCTCCCATCTGAAAACTTCTTTATTGCCCATTATGCTCAACATCCATTACATTATCTTCCAAGAAATTGCACTGAGCTATCTGATAGATGGATGGAGTTCAATACTTAAAAAAGTTAACGGATTTTTGACTCACAAATTTTCCCATTCCTTGTTTGAAGGGTTCAACGGCCATCTCTAGTGCTGATCTCTTCGGTCGCGATACAGATAGTTCCTCTCTTGACCTCACTGCAAGTGATATTCTCAATCGGTTTTCTTTCCAGGTATACTTTGCAAATCTGTGATTTTCCCATCTCTGAAGTATACTCGTGGAATGTTGTACTTGTAATATAGGATGGCTATTTCTTGGATAATGTTATACAAAGACACCAAAGTTTCTTTCTCCCTGGTTGCAACAAAACCGATTTGTACTTTGCCATATCATACTTTGTAGCTCCCATTTCCTAAAACAACACTGGGAAAAAAATTATGCATTTTATGTGGATGTTTTGCAATATTAAATAGCTAATGTAGCATAGCATGCCACATATGCCAGTAAAAAAAAGTGAGGTTTATGTTTTTGTATATCCTTACCCTTGCCCCCGCCGGCTCTTACCTTTAGTACCTACGAGTTATGTATTCTTTCGATTACTTTGTCAATTGTTGACTCATAATTGGGGTGTTATGATACTGATCTTGAGTTGAAATTTATCTTTACAGGCACAGCAAGATATATCTTCGCTTAAGAATATTGCGGGAGAAACTGGGAAGAAGCTCGGCTCCCTGGCATCCTCTTTAATGACAGATCTTCAGGACAGAGTCCTTTGATAGCGATACATGTTGCATTCAAAATTATTTTAAGAGTTTGTCGCAATACCATCGTATATTTTTCTGTGGTGAATGTAAACGAAAAAAATGAAATGGTGAAATTATTTCAGAAGACAAAAATAATTATGGTTTTAAAACTCTGGCTTATGGTTTTTGTAGTTTTCAGTGTATCTTGTAGCAGAAATTTTTTGGTAAGTATGTCTCTACTACACTAAAGCGATTTGTTATTGGATGTTCATGGGTAATTAGTCGATATATTTTCATCTTAGTCAAATTAATGAAACTAATTGATCTTACTTGCTGATTTTCTTTTCTGGTTCTCAAATCGTAAGACCTATGGTTGGCCATGATATATCTCTAACGCCATTGATTTTTTCCGTGTTCAGCAAGAGATGGTAGTTTTTTTGTTAAGGGTTTTTACTGATGGATCAAATTCAAATTCAAATTCAACCACTGTAAATAGTTTTCAGGTGATTCATGAGTCTAAAGACTTGTGGTTGTGCCTTTTTTGACTTTTGAAATTTTTTTAGTGCAAGTAAATTCAACGTTAACTAATGTGACTAGTTTATACCTTCTCTTGCTATAACCTATGGAAAAATATTAAATAAACTTAAAAGATTAGTTTAAAAACTTGACTTAATAATGTGATTGTTAAATTTGTCATTGATTTAATTATAAGTTTCACTATTTATTTGAATCTATTACGTATTTAATAATAATTATTAATTAAGTTAAATTTTAAAATCTGTGTTACTTGTAGCCTATATATGCAAGAGATTCTACCATATAATTATAGAACAATGCTACATGAACTTAAAAAATAAACTTGATAATCTCAACCATTGATTTCACTGTGGGTCCCAATATTTACTAGGACTCATTACTTATTCANGCCAGTAAAAAAAAGTGAGGTTTATGTTTTTGTATATCCTTACCCTTGCCCCCGCCGGCTCTTACCTTTAGTACCTACGAGTTATGTATTCTTTCGATTACTTTGTCAATTGTTGACTCATAATTGGGGTGTTATGATACTGATCTTGAGTTGAAATTTATCTTTACAGGCACAGCAAGATATATCTTCGCTTAAGAATATTGCGGGAGAAACTGGGAAGAAGCTCGGCTCCCTGGCATCCTCTTTAATGACAGATCTTCAGGACAGAGTCCTTTGATAGCGATACATGTTGCATTCAAAATTATTTTAAGAGTTTGTCGCAATACCATCGTATATTTTTCTGTGGTGAATGTAAACGAAAAAAATGAAATGGTGAAATTATTTCAGAAGACAAAAATAATTATGGTTTTAAAACTCTGGCTTATGGTTTTTGTAGTTTTCAGTGTATCTTGTAGCAGAAATTTTTTGGTAAGTATGTCTCTACTACACTAAAGCGATTTGTTATTGGATGTTCATGGGTAATTAGTCGATATATTTTCATCTTAGTCAAATTAATGAAACTAATTGATCTTACTTGCTGATTTTCTTTTCTGGTTCTCAAATCGTAAGACCTATGGTTGGCCATGATATATCTCTAACGCCATTGATTTTTTCCGTGTTCAGCAAGAGATGGTAGTTTTTTTGTTAAGGGTTTTTACTGATGGATCAAATTCAAATTCAAATTCAACCACTGTAAATAGTTTTCAGGTGATTCATGAGTCTAAAGACTTGTGGTTGTGCCTTTTTTGACTTTTGAAATTTTTTTAGTGCAAGTAAATTCAACGTTAACTAATGTGACTAGTTTATACCTTCTCTTGCTATAACCTATGGAAAAATATTAAATAAACTTAAAAGATTAGTTTAAAAACTTGACTTAATAATGTGATTGTTAAATTTGTCATTGATTTAATTATAAGTTTCACTATTTATTTGAATCTATTACGTATTTAATAATAATTATTAATTAAGTTAAATTTTAAAATCTGTGTTACTTGTAGCCTATATATGCAAGAGATTCTACCATATAATTATAGAACAATGCTACATGAACTTAAAAAATAAACTTGATAATCTCAACCATTGATTTCACTGTGGGTCCCAATATTTACTAGGACTCATTACTTATTCAATGGTTGAGATTATCAAATCTAATTTTTAAGTCTAGTTTTTAAGTCCATCTAGCATTACTCAAAAGATTCTATCACACTTATATCGGGTCGAAACTAAAATCTTCTGTGTACTTGATTATTGAAAAATAAGTTTAATCGTACTAAACTAGGGGTGCAATTCGGGTAGGTTGAACAATTAACCTTAACCCAAATCTAGGCGTATAATCTTCAACCTTAATCTTAATCCTAACTCTATCTTGGGTTAAGTAAATCAACCCGAGCACTGCCTCGAGTTTAATTCGAGCGAGCTTGGATTAAATTCAGGTTAATGATTTCGAGTTACTTTATGAGTTCAATTCGGAATTGAGTTCGGATAGAACCCAAAATAGACTTGTTGTTCTAAATCTAATATATTTATTACATAATATTCACTTAAATTAACAACTAATAATTTTAACCATGTTTTTAACAGTGCTAATGTTAGAGCAAAAATGAAAATGAACGAGAGAGACAAAGTACGATAGAACAAAAATAGAAAATCATTGTTAATACTTTATATATTTATATAAATTTTTTTTTAATTTGTTGAGTTTGGGTTGAATTCGAGACCTTAATCTGAGACTAACCTAAATTGAATTCGAATTAGAATTTTTTGACCCAAGCCTAACCAAAATATTAAAAATTATTGATCAAATTAAAATTTTTTCAGATTAAACTTGGGTTTAAATCAGGTTGCCTCAACCCAAAAGTTGCACCCCCGTACCAAACTATTGTAATTATAAAAATTCGAATTGAAATATTATTAAACAAAAAAAATATTCAAGTTTTGACCTATGGTCCAGCAGTTCCGTGGTACTTTCCTCACCGAACGGGGTCCTTTCCTACTCCGAATTGCAAAACTGAAATGGCGGCTCAAATTTCCCTCCCTTTTCAAAACTCTCCAATCGTGTGAAAAATGTTCAACTCACATTTCATCTTTCCCTCTTCGCAGACCCAAAAATCAAAACCCTAATTACCAGAATTCACCAAATCTCCACTCTCTTCCCTCCATCTACCTTCTCAATTTCAATTTCCCTTTCAAAAATTTCCCAATTTTCACCTACTTTTTCAAAACCCTAATCTCAAGAACCTTCCCCATTTTCCAATTTTTCACTGCTCGTCTCACTCTGTCTTCAAAGCTCTCTTTCAACATTTCTGTGGATTGCTGTTTCACAAAAAAACGCAGTGAGGTTCCCCAATTCACACCTTAAAGGCTTCAAAACCCTAATTTTAGCAATTTACACTTTCAATTTCTCTACAGGATAACCTTCGAGAAAGTTCTCTCTCGAAGCCCCCTCTTTCTCTTCAAATACTCTGTTTCTCAACGTTTCAATGGATACTCAGTTGATAAAAAGCCTGGAAACTCACTCTCCACCTTCAGAGTCAGTTAATTTACACCAAAACCTAGGTGGGTGTTCTTCGCCCAAGTCATCTAAACAACAAGGCCGCGATGATCTGGGTCACTTATCCCAATTCCCTTTACAAACAAACCTCGAAAAATCGGAGGAATTTGATTATATAAGAGCCGAGGAAAGTCCAGATGGTAATTATTCTGATTCACCTTTCTTGATTTGTAATGAGACCAAAGAAGAAGAAGTGGAAGAGGAGGAAAATGACCCTTTGATTTCATCTCCTATCAGTACATTTCAGACCTCACATTGGGCTGAACCATGGGGTTGGGGTAGAGATATTAAACCTATAGAGTCTTCTCATTCGTCTGTGCCTGTGGATTCTAAGCCTCAGGCTTTGGATTGGTCTGAATGCCCATCTTCGGGTTCTAATGGTGAAACTGAAAACAAGCCCTCTGTTCCAGTTTGTTCTTCGGTTTTGCCAAGTGAAGATAAGCCTTCGTTGGTGGTATGTTTTTGTTCTAAATGGTTATATACGGGGGGGTCAATTTTAGTTGTCTGTCTCTGAATTTTTTGAAATATGGGTATTTTAAATTTATATTGTTTTGTAATTTTGTTAACTTACAGGGTGCAGGGCTTGCGAATCTCGGAAACACATGCTTTCTTAATGCAGTATTGCAATGCTTTACACATACTGTGCCACTTGTTCAGGGTCTCAATTCATGCAGTCATGCAATGCCTTGTGAACGTAAGACTATTGATATTAATTTGTCTTGTGATTTTTGTCATATATTTTGAAGTGCTCTACTTTTAGTTGTTAGATGATACTGGCTAATTAGAATTGTGCAGTCGCAAATTTGACATTTTGGTTTTTGAAATTGGAATTTGCAGGTAATAATGAAGGTTTCTGTGTGTTTTGTGCTCTGCGTGATCACATTGAAGTTTCAGTAGCTTCTACAGGCTTGGTTGTCTCCCCTTGGAAACTTGTAAACAATTTGAGCTGTATCCTTGCATACAGGGAAAAAAAAAAAATTTCTTTTTAAAGATCTTGGATAGAAACTTTTTTAGATCTTTTTCTTTGATTAAATATTAGGTGGTGTTGATCACCATTTTCCTGAATAAAATTCCATCTTGCATTTTGTGGGTTTTCAATACTGCAATATTTGTCTTGCAAGTAGATGCTTCACACTCGTTTAATAGGTATTGCGTCATTGTGATTCTTGACCCATGAATAACCAGATTTTTCATCTAGTTTCCAGAGGTTTCGACAGGAAGATGCTCACGAATTCCTGCAATGCCTTTTGGATAGACTTGACAGTTGTAATTATCCAAACAAAATGGATGCCACACAGGATGACAACTTTGTGAAGCAGGTGTTTGGCGGTCGTCTAGTTAGCAAAGTAAGAATTCAAGTGGTGGTTTCCACTCTTACCTTTATCATCAACTATCTCTCATTGTTGATTATCTTATTTGCAATGCTTTTATATACATGAAAATGGATTCACTTGATAATTGTTAATTACTTGATATTCAAATTTCAGCTTCGATGTTGCAACTGTGGTCACTGTTCTGACACTTATGAGCCTTTAGTTGACCTAAGTCTGGAGATTGAGGATGTGGGTGCCCTATCAAGTGCTCTGAATTCTTTCACAAAGGTGGAAAAAATTGAAGATCCTGAGACAAAGTTTATGTGCGAAAAATGTAAGGAACAAGTATCAGTTGAGAAGCAGCTTATGTTGGAGCATGTCCCTTCTGTTGCTGCATTCCATTTGAAGAGATTTAAGAATGATGGCTCTTTTGTTGAGAAGATTGATAAGCATGTGGAGTTCCCATTGGAGTTGGACTTGTTACCTTACAGTAGTGGCAGTCAAAATAATGACGTGAGTTGTTGGAACCGCTGTTTCTTTATGTTATATCAGATGTTGAAGATAATAAGTTGAAAGTCCTGCAAGGAAAAAGAATTGCTACTGTCTGATAATCTAATTTGATTCATGGTTAATCTATTGCATTTTCATGGCTGGATGTCAGTGGTTGACAGCTTGTAAATAGTTCTTATCAAATTTTTACATGGCATTGTGATATGATGTCCTGTAAATGTTAATCGTTGCGTTAGTTATTGGTAAATTTGCATTTGGCTGCAGTCTTTGCAATGGTAGCATAAAATGGTAGGGTGGAACAGTAATGGAGTAGAATGAATTTGGAATACTATTTTTTCTTGGGTGTTGTTACTTGTCACATAACATAAGCAGGTTCTAAACTCTCTCTCTCTCTCCCCAGCAGGTAGGGTTGAAGTACGATTTATATGCTGTAGTGGTGCATATTGGATTCTCATCAAATTCGGGGCACTATTTTTGCTTTATTCGTTCCTCCCCAGATGTATGGTACAAATTTGATGACTCCAAGGTATTATTTATGATGTCTAATATGTAATCCACACCCGAGGTTCACTTGAATCTGAGATTGCATGTGTATATCTTTGAAGACATGAGAAGGTCTTAGCTGTGGGCAGTGTTTTGTAGCAAGTTTTGATATGTAGCCAATTTCATCATTCTGTTTTACAGTTGACTACTAAACAAATGAAAACACTTTGATAAGTGGGTCTATTTTCCAAAAGATTTCCAGGTGGATTGCAAACCATGAACTATTTTATTTTGGATGTGAATATGTAAAGTTATCTAATGCACAGTTGAAAACAACATTAAGTCATTGATTTGTTATCATCTTTATCAATTTTCATCTCAAGAAGCCCAAAAAATATTAACCTTTGATTGGCTTTTTATAGGTTGTTCGGGTTCGAGAAGATTTTGTGCTTGCACAGGAGGCCTATATTCTTTTCTATGCAAAACAGGGCACAACCTGGTTTACAAGTTTTATGGAAACACAAAAGCCATCCATGGATCTTTGTTTATCCAACACTTCACCCAAGTCAGTGTTGGATAACATGGACCACATTTGTACATCATCTCCTAGTACTCGAAATAACCATAGTTCTTATGTCAATGAAACCACTGATACTGGTCACAGGATCTGTACAGAGTTTTCAAGGGGATCCGGACATGATAAGGTTGAGGCTAGTGAAGCTGAAGATGATTCACACATGATATATGCTCCAATGCCACTTGGGGAAAGTAATTCTTTTAATCAAACTTCAAGGAATGTTGAGAACAAAATCTCTCCGTCTGTCCTTGAAGAAAATAATTGCAATAAGGAATTTGAAGTTAAAAAGATTGCCAATATCTCTCCTTACACGCCACCCAGATCTCCAAGTCCAGAGATATACAAAGATGAGTCTCCAGGTAAAATCATATAAACAATTTTTGACTGGGTTTGCCTGTAATTTTCTTGATATTGCTTACATTAGCTAACATTGACTAATTGTAATGGAACTTTCAGAAAGAAGTTTTTCTATTCCGCGTGATCATCATAAAATAGTGGATAAGGTGTCATGTAAAAGACAACCGAATAAGGAAATGGAGGATTCAGAGAGAAAGCAGGCCTGCAGACTGATAAAAAGCATGCCCAGTTCAAGAGGCTCAAAGTTAATGGCTGCTTTGAAGGGGTCGAATAGTGTAGGTTCTCAGAACAAAAGGAGGAGTAGAAGAATAGGATTGTCTCCGGCTAGGAATGCTAATGCTTCAAGTGCTCGTCGTAAGTCTGATGTTCGCTCTGTCATACGTCCTTTGGCTGCTGGAAGTTTCCGTTGAACAGGTGAAGTTTTGGTAAATGACCTGAAATTTTGGTGAATGGTCTGTTTATGTTGTCCGATGTAGATGTCAAAGGATGCTAACAGCTGCGTTTGANTTGAATCTGAGATTGCATGTGTATATCTTTGAAGACATGAGAAGGTCTTAGCTGTGGGCAGTGTTTTGTAGCAAGTTTTGATATGTAGCCAATTTCATCATTCTGTTTTACAGTTGACTACTAAACAAATGAAAACACTTTGATAAGTGGGTCTATTTTCCAAAAGATTTCCAGGTGGATTGCAAACCATGAACTATTTTATTTTGGATGTGAATATGTAAAGTTATCTAATGCACAGTTGAAAACAACATTAAGTCATTGATTTGTTATCATCTTTATCAATTTTCATCTCAAGAAGCCCAAAAAATATTAACCTTTGATTGGCTTTTTATAGGTTGTTCGGGTTCGAGAAGATTTTGTGCTTGCACAGGAGGCCTATATTCTTTTCTATGCAAAACAGGGCACAACCTGGTTTACAAGTTTTATGGAAACACAAAAGCCATCCATGGATCTTTGTTTATCCAACACTTCACCCAAGTCAGTGTTGGATAACATGGACCACATTTGTACATCATCTCCTAGTACTCGAAATAACCATAGTTCTTATGTCAATGAAACCACTGATACTGGTCACAGGATCTGTACAGAGTTTTCAAGGGGATCCGGACATGATAAGGTTGAGGCTAGTGAAGCTGAAGATGATTCACACATGATATATGCTCCAATGCCACTTGGGGAAAGTAATTCTTTTAATCAAACTTCAAGGAATGTTGAGAACAAAATCTCTCCGTCTGTCCTTGAAGAAAATAATTGCAATAAGGAATTTGAAGTTAAAAAGATTGCCAATATCTCTCCTTACACGCCACCCAGATCTCCAAGTCCAGAGATATACAAAGATGAGTCTCCAGGTAAAATCATATAAACAATTTTTGACTGGGTTTGCCTGTAATTTTCTTGATATTGCTTACATTAGCTAACATTGACTAATTGTAATGGAACTTTCAGAAAGAAGTTTTTCTATTCCGCGTGATCATCATAAAATAGTGGATAAGGTGTCATGTAAAAGACAACCGAATAAGGAAATGGAGGATTCAGAGAGAAAGCAGGCCTGCAGACTGATAAAAAGCATGCCCAGTTCAAGAGGCTCAAAGTTAATGGCTGCTTTGAAGGGGTCGAATAGTGTAGGTTCTCAGAACAAAAGGAGGAGTAGAAGAATAGGATTGTCTCCGGCTAGGAATGCTAATGCTTCAAGTGCTCGTCGTAAGTCTGATGTTCGCTCTGTCATACGTCCTTTGGCTGCTGGAAGTTTCCGTTGAACAGGTGAAGTTTTGGTAAATGACCTGAAATTTTGGTGAATGGTCTGTTTATGTTGTCCGATGTAGATGTCAAAGGATGCTAACAGCTGCGTTTGAACCTTTAAGGTAACAGGATCTCTTTGTGGAAATTGCAACTGTCTTTTTTTTTTTTGGCATTTAGGCCTAGTGTGTCGAGAAAGGTATACCCAAATAATGATACATTGGATAAGAATATCTACTATTTGTAGGCATACGGCTTGTAAATAAACATGAATAGGTGTAGTAACCAAAACGTGTTGTGTAGTTTTTTGATTGTAATACTTTGGTTTTATGCTGACTGTTGATTAATTTTAATCAAATTTGCTTAATAATTGTGATCAGATGATATAATATTAATAATCAGGTCTCAGGTTAGATCCTCAGTGTGCAAGAAGTTTTCATATTTTTCATTTTGGAGCGTGATAAAGATAAGCTTTAGTATTTGGAGAAGTTAGACCACCTATGATTGAAGACATCCATTCATATTAGATTCAGTCAGTGCAACACTGGGCTACTCTTTTACCTCACTTCAGATTTCCATGTTACTCCCTATTTTTCCAGGAAACACAGACCTCCTCCATCTTAAATAGGGGCGGCAATTTTTGATACGGTACAAAAACATGACTCAAAATTAACATAAAATTAATGAATTTGAGTTGATCATATTTTGACACGAACTTGTAAATGACACAATTCATTAATATGAATAATAAATGAGTTGAGTTAGTGTTAGGCATGAAAAATATAAAATTGACGCGATTAATATATTTAATTAGTATTATTGGATTAAAATGATATTTTTTTTTTATTTTTATCAAATATTTTCATAATTCTTGTACAAAAAAAATATATTTACTCATTTTTATTATGATGTCTATTAAATTTATTTTTAGTTTATACAAAAAGTATGAGCACGATTTTGATTAAGTGATAATAAAATTTTAAACTTAAATTTTTACATTAAATTTTTTATTTATGGGTTATAGATTCATACGAGTCAATAAGAATACAATATGAAAATAAATAAGTTGAGTCACACAATATGATTAGTTAAATAGGTTAAATTAAGATTGATTAGTGCTGGAAACGAATTTATAAATAACATAAAATTAACACGCTCGACATAGCACATTTGTCACTCCTAATCTTAAAGGTCTAAGTTAATTCATTAATTAGATCTTAATTTATTTGTACGATAGAGAAAACTTGATGAGTCCAATAGGTAGAGATCTAAAGCTAAAAAGGTACTCTAATGTGCGAGTACCCTATAGTCGTGAAGTTTAGGGATTAGATCGACTTATGTACCTTATTTTATTTTTGTGACTTAAAATTTTGACACAAATTACAATAGAACAACTTTTATAAGTTTTGTCAATTCATGTCCTCAAACCAAAGCTCATCCATTCATAGATGATAACTAAATAAGCATCGATCGTCAGAGAATATACTTGATCCATTTTTTCTAGGGATGCCATTAATATAGATAAGGCATGTGGTGCTTTTTTCATTAGACCCCCCACTAAAATTCAGATAAAAGCATCTTCAACTAAGGTTAAGCAATCAATCTCCATAACCTAAATTTTTATTTTCAACTAAGGTTAAGCAATCAATCTCCATAACCTAAATTTTTATTTTTAACGGTCAGGAGTGTATGAGTTAATTTACGCGTATTCAACTAACTCTTTTCGGTCTGATTAAAAGTTGGTCATTTACGTCGTCGTGATTAGGGTATTTATGAAAGATAAATTTATAACCGGACTCCAAAAGATTATCAAAATTTGAATTCAAAACGTCTAAATTTACAATTCGTTTTTGTTACCACTTGAATTATCCTTTCTCTTACTATATCCTACTTTTCTTGTTTAGCATTGTCGATGTAAGAGCATTACTAAGTGTATTCTTGTTTGCATCAAAAGCTCTAGTTTTGATTCTTTCCATAACAACACAAAACTCTCTCTCTCTCTCTCTATTTAAGAACTTTAAGTCCCTCCAACAAATCCCTTCGGTTCTCTCTAAATCTCTCTACTATTGAATTACAGCACTATTAGAACACATTTGCTTTAAGAAGAGAAACAGTAAATGGTTGCTGCAGCTACTATAATCGGAGAAGAGAACTGCCCGATGACTCCGAGAACCGTCCCAACCGGCAACAGATCGCTGGCTAAAGATGTGATACTGTCCGAGTCATCGCACACTGGTAAACATGTGGTTGTGGTGATGGACGGATTGAGGGAGTTCAGCATGACCCCGCTGGAATGGGTCCTCAAGAATGTCCCCCTTGAACCTTGTTGCACCATTACTGTGCTAGGAGTAACTCCCTGGCTTAACATTCCACGTCAGTTTATATCCCCATTACAGAGCATGCATAATTAGAATCAGCTTATTAATTAGTTGTTTCTTTAAGCTATGTTTTACATTTTCTTTTCCTGATTTTTTATATTAAACATTCATTAATATGTTGATATATAGTCTCCTCTTTCTGGGAAAAAAAAAGTAGGCGTGCAATCTCAAAGGGTTGCTCAAATGATAATATGGATGAGCTGTAAACTCAGACAATTTGAGTTCAAAACTTCTTAACACTTTAGGGCCAAGTAATGAGAGATTTATCTCTCATAAATATTTTAGTCTCGACGTGGATGAACTGCTTTTGGCCGGATCGGAGAGGAGATTAATCGAGGTATGTGTAAGTTGGTTTTAATACCCTTGACTATTGAACCCAAAACAAAAAGTAAGTGTGCCAATCAAGTTCTTATGTGTTATATTTTTTTTTCTATCGTTGTTGTATCCTAATCGTGTCTTTTTGAGTTAATGTCACATATTAACCGTGAACTAAGAATTGTAGAATTAGTATTCCATTTTCTGTCAATTAAATATGGGTCTTGCGCAACTTAAAGTATTCTTGATTCTAAGTGCTTCAAATAAAGAGTGTCTAGACTAATTTATGCGCACTTCAACTTATCTCCTTTCTGGTTCAGTCAAAAGTTGACCATCCACGTTAGGATTATAGTATTTATGAGAGATAAATCCCTTATTACCTAGTCCTAAAGAAGTTGTCAAGATTCAAATTCAGTACGTCTAATTTTACAATTCGTCCCTGTTACAACTTAAACTACTCCTTAGGGTTGATTCTAAAATAATTCATACAATCCTTAATGTAGGAATACAAAATAAATAAAAACCATACATTTCTTTACAATAACAGTTAGATTAATTATATATCTACTACTAACCTGATTCATTTATTATTTGTTAGTTGATTGTATTATCTTCAAGTTCATACTACCGGATAAAATCAACGTTCTTTAAAACAAAACTTGTCCCCCCTCCCCCCAAAAAAAAAGAAAAAAGAAAAAAAGAAAAACAAATCAGGCTATAACACACAAACATGAAAAAGGGTCTTTCAAGCAACTAAAATTTAATGTTTTTCTCTATGTTGCCCTCTTTTGTTTTTGGTCTGCAGTCTCTTCCAAGACATGGTCGGACATTTGGACAAAGGATCTTGAAGATTTATTGACTACAAAAGAGAAAATCGACTGGAAGGGTGGTGATGTGAAGAATCAAAAGTTCCAAAAATTAGTGGACCTCTGCCGAAAATATGGGGTATTAATTACAAATTCTGCATTATACAGCCTTTTCTTTGTATTTTCCCAGTATGCATTAAAGCTTTTAAGAACTTTGGTGCATCATCAAATTACGAAAAATACATCATAGACATTAAGTGACCCCCTGTCAATTCAGTGATAGAAAATGATAGCGGGTCTAAAATTATACTCTTTTAATGTTTATTCTGCATGTGATAGGTGGTGCCGCAGCTGAGAACTGAAAGGGGGTACCCTTTGCGGCTGGTGGTTGTTGAGCAAATTACAACCCTTCATCCCACACTCATTGTATTTGATAGGTATATATCTCCACAATAAATAGTGATCCAATCGAGAGTGTTATTATTTTTATGAGCAATCCCGAATAATCCCGAAAAACGAAGAAAATGTTCCATGTAATGATAATATTACATCATTATTAATATTTAGTATTATCAATGAAAGTCGAGTGAACCTACTAGTATTTGATTAAACGTCATTACTCTAATTAATATATCCAATAACAACCATATTTGGCTAGTGAGGTTCACCAAATTTACCTAGCATTTTTTATTGGTTGGTGAGGCTGCATATCAATGATAATATAGTACCGTCCCTACACCGAATATTTAATTTGACAAATGAGGTTATAAACAGATATCAAATGATACGGTCAAAAAAAGATGAAAATTGAATTTTAAATAAGTTAATGAGGGTGTAAAAACATCACTATATAAGCATAAAATATTTTTTTGAATTTAATTTTTTTGGTCAGCTGGTATTTTTTTTTTTGGGAATCAGGTTGTTCATCCACAAATTAAGTTGGTGAGGAGCTTCAAAAGTTTTGTAGTCAATTCTAAAATTCACTTATTAAACGAGTCGAGCTCAAAGTAAAGACTATATAAACAAACTTCTATGCGAACCATTTTCAACAATTTATGAAGAACTCGGTTTATATGCACTCCTAAAATAATGGTTAATTACAAAATGTCTCCTCTAACTTTGGGTGATATTGCAATCAACTCTTTCTGGTCTTAATTTCAAATAATTATCCCCTCAAAGTTTGAATATGGTTCAATTAGCCCAAGTCGTTAATTTTGATAGTGAAAAATAACGGAAGTCAGTCATATACAAGTCACATAATCTCATATTTGTTGAAAAGACAAAATTACCTATATAAATTTTTGTTTCCTTGTGTATAACACCCTCCAATCCACTCCAATACTTGCACATTCCTATTCCCGGCGCCAAACCTCCTCCCCTTTTCCTTTTCCTTTTCAACAAATCCCTCTTCCCTGTCGCCGAAACCCCCTCTTTCCTCTTGCGGCATCATAACTACCAAGATCACAAGATCACCTTCACGAAAGACAATATTTATGGCCTTTTTCTAAAATATTTATTTATTTTTAATTTTTCTAGGATATCAGATTTTTTTTTGTATTTTTATTTGAGATTATATGACTTGCATATAACTGACTTCCTTAATTTTTTACCGTCAAAATTAACGGCTTGGGTTAATTGAAGCATATTTAAACTTTGAAGTGGCAATTTGTTGAAATTAAAATCAAAGGAAATTGATTACAACATGACCTAAAATTGTAGGGATATTTTGAAATTAACCCTAAAATTAAAATCTACTGTTTTTTATACTAAACATCATCATCATCATCACCATCCCAATGTTATTATCGTTATGAACAGACACTTATGTATTAGGATGGGCTGTAACAGGCACCATGACAGAAAGGACATAGAATACTATGCTGAGAAAGTTCCATGCAACATGGTGATATTGAACGATGATGGAGAGGTTGACATGATCAAAGGCCGATCCCATATTGATGATGTTGAGAACACTCCCGGCGGCGAGTCGTCTTCGTCTTCATGGGCACAAAGTCCAGTAGTGTTGATGTTTACAGAAAATTTACAGAAACTTCTCAGAAAAAATGGGTAAGGAGATGAAGGATTCCATGGAAGCATAGAAGATCAAAGAATAATGCAAGTNATTTTTTTTTTTGGGAATCAGGTTGTTCATCCACAAATTAAGTTGGTGAGGAGCTTCAAAAGTTTTGTAGTCAATTCTAAAATTCACTTATTAAACGAGTCGAGCTCAAAGTAAAGACTATATAAACAAACTTCTATGCGAACCATTTTCAACAATTTATGAAGAACTCGGTTTATATGCACTCCTAAAATAATGGTTAATTACAAAATGTCTCCTCTAACTTTGGGTGATATTGCAATCAACTCTTTCTGGTCTTAATTTCAAATAATTATCCCCTCAAAGTTTGAATATGGTTCAATTAGCCCAAGTCGTTAATTTTGATAGTGAAAAATAACGGAAGTCAGTCATATACAAGTCACATAATCTCATATTTGTTGAAAAGACAAAATTACCTATATAAATTTTTGTTTCCTTGTGTATAACACCCTCCAATCCACTCCAATACTTGCACATTCCTATTCCCGGCGCCAAACCTCCTCCCCTTTTCCTTTTCCTTTTCAACAAATCCCTCTTCCCTGTCGCCGAAACCCCCTCTTTCCTCTTGCGGCATCATAACTACCAAGATCACAAGATCACCTTCACGAAAGACAATATTTATGGCCTTTTTCTAAAATATTTATTTATTTTTAATTTTTCTAGGATATCAGATTTTTTTTTGTATTTTTATTTGAGATTATATGACTTGCATATAACTGACTTCCTTAATTTTTTACCGTCAAAATTAACGGCTTGGGTTAATTGAAGCATATTTAAACTTTGAAGTGGCAATTTGTTGAAATTAAAATCAAAGGAAATTGATTACAACATGACCTAAAATTGTAGGGATATTTTGAAATTAACCCTAAAATTAAAATCTACTGTTTTTTATACTAAACATCATCATCATCATCACCATCCCAATGTTATTATCGTTATGAACAGACACTTATGTATTAGGATGGGCTGTAACAGGCACCATGACAGAAAGGACATAGAATACTATGCTGAGAAAGTTCCATGCAACATGGTGATATTGAACGATGATGGAGAGGTTGACATGATCAAAGGCCGATCCCATATTGATGATGTTGAGAACACTCCCGGCGGCGAGTCGTCTTCGTCTTCATGGGCACAAAGTCCAGTAGTGTTGATGTTTACAGAAAATTTACAGAAACTTCTCAGAAAAAATGGGTAAGGAGATGAAGGATTCCATGGAAGCATAGAAGATCAAAGAATAATGCAAGTTGTACTATATATAGGCCTGAAAATCAAATAACTTCTCCTGTGTATAGTTTTGAATAACAAAAATCCATGATCATCTTCGACGGGACAGATAAATAAAGTGGAAGCAATAACCATGGCGGATGGCACGAAATTGGATTTACGGTCTCATGAAATGCTGTCATTTCAATTTTTTTTTTTGATATACTTTCAATTTGTAATTATTATATCAGACTATTAAAGCCGGTTTTTTTTTTTTTTGGGTGTGACTCCCTTACATATGTATGTATTTATGAATTTTTTTTTAACGATTTCTTGGGTTTTTGGCCTCTGAAAAATAAACCCAGCCACCCTATAACATTATATATTTATTATAAGACAAGTTAATGTATACAAAGGAGTAAGGTTCACTGGATCTAAATGTCTACCATAAATATTGGAACCCCACATGTGATACATTCACATTGAAGGGAAAACAATTTCATGAAAATGATATGAGTTCATATACAAAAATCGAATCGAGAACCCTAAGCTCGAGTTAAATTTTTAGGTCGAGTTTTGGTCACAACTATTTATTAAGATCTGATTGAGAAGGATTCTGATCCCCCCCTCCCCCATACTTTTTATTGTTTGCTTTTTGGTACATGAGAATCGGATTACTTTTTTTATTTTAAAGCTTTCTTGAGGCCTTGATTATCACTTTCTCCACCACCTACATTGCCACCACATCCAGCACCACCGTCTCCACTAGATCAATTGCCGGCACCATGGACCGCACCACCACTCAGATACATAGCTAGCTATACCTGGTTCAGTTTCACCTTTAGCTCCATAGCCACCACCCCTAGGGCGGCTGACCCTCATCGAATAGGCTACGCCATCGCGGGTTTTGGCAGCCGACCCCAACTCCACCGCCACCACTTCCAACATCAGTTTTAGAGCTAACATTATCTTGTTAAGTACCAACACTACTTTTCGCCCCGCCACCACTGGAGCTGGTGCGACACCTTCACAATGACTAGGGGTATTGGTTGAGCCAAATGGACCAGTTTCTCTTGACCCCAGTGGGTAGCCAATACGAAGAGCCCCAGTAGCGCAACATATCGCAACGCCCAATAGAACCAGGAAAAACTACTATATTAAGTAGTTTATGGGTAGCCATAAAAATGTGTTTGATTTTTACAACGAAAGGGTCGCCATTTATAGGAGGCCAAGGGGGTCCAAAAACTAGTCCATAATTCGATGTGTCAGCACAGGATTAGAGAATGGGTTGTCCCCACTAAGAATCAACGTTGTCGATCACGTGTAGAACGCAACACAAGAAAAATTATTCAATATAACGAGTACACCACATTATTATCGTCACGTAATATAACAGATTAATTATAAAAATCATGAGTCTAATGTACAAAATTAAGTTCGCTTGGGCTTTACTCATTTGGTTAATAAGCTAGCTTTACAATTATAGTCGAACTCGAGTAATTTTATTTTTTAGTTAAGTTGAGGTCAAAATCGAGATTGAGGTGAAGCTCAATTTATATTAATTTTTAATGACTTTTATTTCAAGTCAATCCTGAACTATTCATGAATAACTCAATTCGTTTACGAAAGTGCTCTTGGTGCTTCTACTGCCATCCCCTTAAATCCATCATTGATGATTTGTTTGTAGCAACATCCTTAAACCATTCATTGACATGAAATGGATTTGAAGTGAAGTGTCTTCAGAACATGAACACTTTTGACTAGAATCTTATTTGAGAATCTGACACAACGCACCACACAACTAAAGTAACTTTCAAAATTGGCTGGTCCAGTGGTGCGTTTTTGCACCATTCCTTTTTTGTTTGGGAGAAGCAACAATGAGAGAGGAAATTTGATGAGTGCACTTAAAATACCCTCCAATTTTTTCCCAAGAGATGGAAAAAGTTGTAAAGTATGAAGAGACCCATTTTTGGCATTTCACATTTTGGTTTCATTTTTTAATTGAGTCAAAGTCATTGAAATTGAGTATGATTGAGATTAAGTTTGATTGTGATTGGACAAGCTCAAGTTGAGCTCAATGTTTGACCTTAGATTTGTGCTCTAGCTTGACTCGGTAGACTACTTTGAGCATTTGAGTCAACTTGAGCTCAAATTTTTAGCAATTTTTTTTTTAAATAAAAGTAGGCCTTAAAATGTAATGTTTAATCCTAGAAATGATCAATGTCACAAGAAAAACATCCCAAAATCTAACCATGGGTGTTCAAATTTTCCAATAATCTAGTAGAGAAGAGATAAATAAAGAAGTGTATATGCTTTATAATTATTTGTTAATAAATTTGGAAGTGTTCATATTTTGAATAGGGCTTGTTTGCTAATAAAATTACAATTATTTCTAAACAAAAAAGGTATCCGAGCCGAGTCGATCCCAATCTACTTTAGTTATGAAATACGTTCTCAATTTTTTCTTTTAAGAAATCTAATCAAATTTAGATTATTTTATAATGTAAAAGAGGTTGAACAAGGTAAAATTGAGCTGAGCTCAAGTAACTCGGACTATTTAGTAGTCTTGAGTGTAATTGACATGAATCTGAAATGAAACCAATTCAAAAAGAAGATAAGAGTCCACTTTAAAATGGCTTAAGGTTCCATTTCAATTGTCATTTTCGGTATATGTCATGTTCTTATCAATAAAAAAATATTTAATTCTGTAACAATTCATATAATATTATTTTAAAAATTATAAAATACTTATTTTCTGTTTATAGTAATCGTTAAATACCTATTTTTTCTATCTATAATACTCATTAATTGTGTTATTCGTGTATAACTTTAATTTGAACTACTTATTATTTCTATCAATTAATCGTATAATTTTTAAGATTTGTATCTTATCGGATTCGTATTATTGGCTAAAATTGACACCCTTATTCTGAAAGTCATTTTAAAGTGGAGAGTCGAGACCAGGAAAAGGGGAACCCAATGGCCTCAAGTCTTGAAAAGGCAAGCCCTCCAAGAAGAAGACCAGCCTTGGGCCTAAAACAGGGCTAAAAACCCAGGACCGAAGTGGGCCGAGTACATATTGCAGAGGGTGTAGAACTAAAGAGTGATCGCCCTACAAAAAAAAAAAATTTTTTGGATCAGATCTACTTTGGATTCATTATTATTAAATTGTATATATTAATTTAATATATATAATTTTATATTAATTTTATTTAAACAGATAAATAAGTTGATATATCTCACTTGAACACAATATGTTTATTAAACAAGTCTACCCGTTAATATTTCACCTAAACTCAGTTTAATTCCGTACTGATTAATTGTGTTTGAATTTTTTTTTTCTGCTGGGAATATTAAATTAATTTTGATATTTGTTATGTTTTATAAATTGAGTATTTAACTTAACTTGACAGACATATGTCTTAATCATGACGTGGCATTGTGTTATTGGACAGAGAATATTCTGTAAGAAAAAGTGGATTGCATTCGCTGCTATCAAAAGAACTCAGTCGTTTGGGTGGGGGGTTTTGGTCAAAGTTGGTGTGCCGCAGCCGCGTGTTTCTAAGGCCCCTGTTTTGACCACAGTGCTGTGACGTCAAAAGTCAAACCACATGCATACCCTTCGCCTTTTTTTTTTTTTTTCTTTGGGTGTGTTGGAATTGGTGATTTGAATTGCGGATGCGTGCGTTCAAAAAAGAATAATGTTGGATAGAATTAAGAATTAGACTTAATAATCTTAATTATTGAATAGGTAGTGCGTCTCAATAAATACTAAAATCTATAATAAAATCAATGATTCTAATTATCAAGTCTAATTTTTAAGTTCATGTAACATTGCTCGTTCAAGAAAAAAATTGCAAATGAGTGGTCTATATAACTATTAAATAATGTTATTAAGACTTAAAAATTTAATTTATATTAATATGACAATGACATAATGTAATAAAATTATAGAGACTAAAATTGTTGAATTTTTTTATTAAAATTATATTACTTAATTTAGTATTATATCAACAAATTATATTAATTTTTGTATATCCTAATAAAGTTACTCATAATTATTATGATTTTGATGATTTGCCCACAATAATAAATCTTAACTTGTTAGTCTATGGTGATGAAACTTTTAAGTTTTAATTATTTGAATAGTTTTTTTATTTTTTGCTTCTAGAATCTAGACAAAAATCAAATTGTGGCCTAATGTTTCTATTTAGATTTCATTTTAAGTTTTTAAACGATTGTTTATTGGAGTTTTATCTGAAATTGTACTTAGCCGAAGGATTGTATCTTTTTTGAAATGGTCCATGGAAGACCATAGATACGACTTTAAAGTTTTGTCAAAAAGATGAAGACATTTGAAAACAAGCTGTTAAATTTTGATACTCTTATAAAATTAGGTATTGATTACAATTTAGAGGGGATGGGGAGGGTGAGACTTCAACTCTTTTTTTTTGGTGCTAAATGATGTTTAAATTCGTGTTGACTATTTTCTCGAATTTAAATATTTAGAACATGTCCCTTGAGGAACTAGGGTGATTGATCCTTAAGGGATATGAGAAATGTTGAACTTGAGACTTTTAAGTTACTAGAGGCCACACTCAGCTACTAAAACACCCCTAAAAATTTGAAAAACTTGGACCTTACGTTGAGAAAAAATATGGGAAAAACACTAACCACCGAGCCATTTTTCTTTTGTGAAATCCCTAATTACATTACTAGATCTGTGCCATTGACTCTTATTATGTATGGAGCTTTTTTGAGTATGCATATGTATACAATTAATACACTACAAGAAAAAAAGGGTTTTTACAGCGGCAAAGTACTTTCATAAAAGGTCTATTTGCCGTTATAAATATTTTTTTGTGGCGTCATTGTCTCGCCATAATAAGTTTGGTCTCAAAAAGATTTTACGGCAACAACAGTCTGTCTCAAATAATATTTACGGCAGCAAGATCCTGTCATAAATAAGTTATCACAAAAAATTCGATATTTTTCCTTTTATCACGGTGAGAAATGTGTTGTCTGAAATACCATATTTGACTGTCAAATGAAATATATATACGATGACAACAATGCTGCCACAAAAAAAAATAATAAGAATAATTTTTTTTTAATTATTATGGACCGTTGGTAATCAATGTTATATATGTTGTATATATATAGACTTCCATTTTCCATTTTCTATTTTTGAGAGGGGGAGGGGGGGAAAGACTTGAACCTTTGACCTCAAGAAGACAAAATTTTCATAAGGTAAAAATTATTATTATACCAAATATTCATTAGTATTAGTATAATTACCCCAATTTAATATATAGATAACACACAAAAATAAATATGACTAACATTTCTAAAAATAAAGCAATTTTTTCATATCAAAAAAATCAATTCCATAAGTTAAACAAAATGTAAAATATGCGTTTTTACAAAACATAATGATCCATAAGTACAAGAAATTAATGCAAAAAATTGAACATCCTTCCCGAACCATCTACTCTTTCAATAACATCTAAAAAAACATAAAATTATTGTTACTATATACTGAAATGATATATAAAAGAGAGAGAGAGAGAGAGAGAACTAAAAGAAGTTAGAATATACATCAATAGAGGACCACATAATATTTCTTTGAACGACTTGTTCAATTATGTAAATGGTATATAAACAAGTCATATCGTATAAATTTCTTCTAATTGGTTTTACTAATATCTGATTCCTTTATAATCGTATCGTGTCGAATCTATTCGTTTACTAAATATGTGATTTAAGGAAGATTCAAACCCACTAATTTTATGTCGTGTTAACGAGTCATGTTATATTTTGACACCTCTAATTTTGATATAAAAAATTGACTTTATAAAGTTAAATTTTTTTCTTTGAAGTAGAAATTGTCTTTTGATGTAAAACTACGTAATTTTATAAAATATTACTTGTAATATAAAAAATAGTTGTGGCTAATACAAATTTTTTTTAGAATTTTTTTTCTTTAAATTATAAACTATTTTTTAATTTAAAACAACATTGTAATGTTTTGTGAAATATTATATACGACGGAAAAATTAGTTGCCATAAATATAAAAAATTCTTTTGAGTTTATGAAATATTATTTGCGACAGGAAAAACAGATGTTTCAAATACAAAAATTTCTTTTGAGTTTATGACACTATTTATGACAGGAAAAATAGATACCACAAATATTAACAAAATATTAATACAAATATATTTTTTGTGACGATATACACAACCGTCGCAAAAAATTGTCTCAAATACGCCTTTTGTGATGGCGAACACAACCATCGTAAAAAATTATCACAAAAAACTTTTATTCTTGTAGTGATAAATGAGTTCGAATTTTGTTAATTCTTTAAAATTAGGCCAAAAAAAAAATGAGGCTACTACAGTGCATTGGAAAAAAACTACATATATCCATATCCAAAAAATTCACTCTGGTCCGTTTGTTTGTTTAGTAAGATAATATAAGAAAGAGAAAATTTTAAAAGTTTACATTTGTTTGTTTAGCATGAAATAGAAAATAATAGAAAAAATAATTTTTTTTCCTACTTTAATTTTCTCACATTTAATTAACTTTTTTTTTTTTTTTACAAAAAACAAAAGTAAAAAAAAAGAAAGTTGTGTTTAATAACTTAACTTTCCAT